TCGGGGCATCTCGGGCCTTTAGGGGCATCTTGGGGCATTAGCCGCAGCCCCCTAGGCTTCCGCCTCGCCGCCGCCCTCCAGGACCCCTCGTCGCCATGGCTGGACGTTCTGGGTCTGGGGTTCCTGGCCAGGGCCCTCCAGGGTCTGGGGTTCCTGGCCAGGGTCTTTTTTTTATTGTTTTTTTGTTTGATTATGTTTTTTTTTTCTTTTTCCAGGGCCCGCTCCTCCCAGCCCAGACCCAGGATTAGCCTGGTTTCTCACGGCCTCGGTGCTACCCTCCATGGCATGTCCTCGGGCCTCTGGCACGCGGCATGGTGGCGCGGGCTTGTGGGCGCATGCCGCATGCTGTATGCCCGAGGTACATGCCGCGGAACATGCCTTGAGGCTGGCGGACTACTTCCGAACGCCATCGTCGAGCTGATCGCCAATTAGACGGCCAGACGTTTGTTGGTTGGTTGGTTGGTTGGCTGGCTGGCTGGCAGTACTTGGGCCTTAGGGGCATGTTGGAGCGCTCCTGGGGCCTTTTGGGATTATTGGAGCGCTCTTGGGCCGCCTTGGAAGCCTGTTGGGTTTTCTCAGGCGCACCTCGGGCCCCTCTTGGCCCGTCTTGGCGGCCTTTGTCCTCTGGAAAATCCACGCGACCGAACCCGGGGGCCCAAAAGTTCGGGCGTCTGTTTTGTGGAAATTTGGGGCTTCGACCAGAGAACAGAGAACGCGAGACAATTTGGGGGAGAAACTCCACTTCGTGCCCGAGGTACCGTAGCGAAAAACAACATGCAAACTGACATCCAAAGAGCTTGGGCAACCTTGTCATTGTTCGTTGCATTGTGTTGCCGCTTGCTCTTGGCCCAAGGTTGACCGACGCCGGAGCCCATCCGGACCCTGAACCTTCCCTTGAGCCTGCCGCTCGGCCAGATCCAGGCGCGCTGCTGCTGAAGGCACCATTGTTGCCAGGAGTTGTTGCATTGCAAGCTGCTGTGGATTCTAAGCCGCCGCAGGCCTCCCGAGGCGATAACATCGTTCTTGATGGGATCGACGCCCTTGCCCTTGTCACGACTGCATGCCCTTTGGACCCAAGCATTACACAAACCAACCTCGCGCTGTTCAATTCGTTATTCAACGACTACTCCGAGCGCGTGAAGTCCTTCAAGGTCATGGAGGAAGACACAGGCACCAGCAACGTTCCGTTCAAGATTAATGCGATTAGTGCTTTGATTTACGTCTTGTCACGGGCCGCCCTCGGAACGGTGTTGAACAGTTTATTGGGTAAAATACGCAATGGTCTTCTTGAGCCTGTCGCCTTGGTCAAGATGATGTCGTGGGATGCTACCCCAGTCACCCATCGACAGGGGCCGAAGGGTGACACAACCACACAGGTGTGCAAGGTACTACAGGTTTTCCAGCACGTAGCCATTATCGTGAGGGACGTCGCATCTCGTTCCATTCGCGTCGTTCATTGCAACCTCCCTTGCCCGCTCCGCCAATCTGACAGAGGCACTACAGAGGCGTTGATGTCAATGCTCGCTGATTTCGATGTGCCGCTGTTGGACCAAGCAGAAGACCTGTTTGACTGCATCTGGGTTGGGACACACGATCGTGCTAAGGACAATTTGAAGTATATACGTGCGACCCAGCTTGAAGCGGACAAGACTGGGAAATGGTTCAGGCGCATCTCGCTACATTGCGATATGCACAAAATCTACACAAGTATTTGCTTGACGTTTGAGAGTTTGGACTTCGTCTCATCCGCCAGCCCTTTCTTCAAAGGTCCTAGGGCCTAGGGTCGTAGTCGTAGGGCCTAGGGCCCTAGGGCCGCCTAGGGCCCAGGGCCTAGGGGTACTTTGCGCAACCAGATGTGTCTCATATGTTTCATGTTCTTCATGAGTAGTAACTGAATTTGGCTATGCATGCATGCCTTTTCCAATGTCGGGGAGGGCTCTTTTATGCAGCCCCTGGGCTGAGCAGGCCCCCTGCCCTGCTGCGGTGGGAAAATACTTTCATGCAATCGCTGGGTAGGCACTTTTATTTGGTGGGGTACGCCGCACTGGGCGCTTTGACCGTTCGTCCCCCCCCCCCCCCCCCATTTCAGACCCTCGGGAGTGGCTTGCGGCAATGGGGTTGGCTGCCATATTGTTAACGTGGAATGTTGTTCAACATGTATCAGGGCTGTGTATTGTTGAACGTGCCATGTTTGATACTAAATGTTATCTAAGGTATCGCAACATACATTGAGGCAGCAGGTAGCATCAGTAGTAGTGACTAGTGCACAGCACAGCAAACCATGCAGACTGCAACGCGGCCGGCCGCTCCCATGCGGGGCACGCGGGTCTAGTTCCGCACCACATCAGTTCCATGATTGCATTGGCATTGTCACAAAAACAAAGTGGCGTAGTGCATCTCCTCCGCCAGATCTTAGCAGAGATTATTATGTATCGGCTCCAGCTACACCATGCCCCCCCCCCGTCGGATGACGACCACATCCACGATCACCGCAAGTGGATCATCACAACGTTCTTCCGGAGGTGCTCCGCGCCCCCAAAGCTTGCAGGCCGCAAACACATTATACAACAATTCTTTCACGGGGACACTTCGGGCACTGCGATTCACCATTTTGCCGGCGCAGGCCGCAGCACGCGCGTGCAGATGCGTGAGGTGGTGGACAAATTGGTGGTGAGGAGTTTGCTACCAAGAGCCTTGTGTGTCTTTCCGAGATCCCGATGGACTGGAAGCGACGATGTTATCGATCAGTGTGGAGTATTAAGCAATTTGTGCGACTTGTTGCGCCAATTGTTGTTCGTCTTTCAGTTTGTCAAGAAGAAGAATCCACAGCGCGCTTCCTTGCCGATGGTGGGCAGACTCACTTCCTATTCCTTCTGCCCCTTCTCCCCAATATGCCTTTCCTCTCCCCTATTCGCCTCTCGTCTCCCCTCCCCCCCTCCCCCCCTCCCCCCTTCCTCTTTCCCTCC